GGAAGGGTTTTATGTCTCTCATGTGGTGCTTTTGTCCCCCCACTGGGGCAGGAGTTTGGGAGCTTTGCTGAAGAGCTGCCACAGCCCTTCCCTTCAGTGCCCTTTGTTCTTGGAAGAGAAAATGAACCAGACCTCTGATATTTCCCAGCTTTTCTTTCTCCTCTCTTCTCTTTCTTGGAATTGTAGTTCTGTACTGAAAAACAGATGGCTCTGGAGCAGGGATTCAGGTGCTCCAGGAGGTTTCCCCGTGAATCACGATCCCCCTGAGCTGCTGCCATGGAATTCTCTCACCTGAAGCACATAAAAGCTGGGATTCAGAAGCCCAGTGAGTTCTTCAGTGAAAGAAAAATCCCCCCTGGCTACTGAAAGTCACCACCCCAGGCTTGAGAATTCCCTGAGCTGCAGATGGCTGGAGGCTCAGAGGATGGCATTAAGTTGTCCTTGCTCTAATACTCCTCCTCCCCAGCAATCTGCTCTGGCTGCTGTCAGAGAGACACTGCAGGGCTCAGATTAATATTTCATGTTACCTCATATCACCTCTCCTGTGCTCTTACCTTTGAGCTGTTCACCCTGTGTCTGGTCCTGCTGGAAGGGCACATTCCCTGGGGGATGCAGGGCTGTGTCCACGCTGCCAGCTGTGAGCTGCCCACGGGGCTGATGCCAGGTGTGGAGAAAGCATCTCTGGGTGATGTAGCACAGGTGTGTAACTGGGATGATGCACTCTAAGGATGCACTAACATGTGGACTTGGTCACTCCTGCCTGCAGGGGTGGCTGTTTGAGGGGCGTGGGCTTGAATCATCATGGAATCATAGAATGGTTTGGGTTGGAAGGGACTTTAAAGCTCATCCAGTGCCACCCCCTGCCATGGCCAGGCACACCTTCCACCAGCCCAGGTTGCTCCAAGCCCCGTCCAGCCTGGCCTTGGACACTTCCAGGGATGAGAAGGATGTTTTTTTATAACTTTGTTGCTCTCAGCAGTTGAGTTTCAAGGACACTTTTGGTTGTTCTGTTTTCTGAGCTCGCATATGTTGGTGTTCTTGAGCACACTAATGGAGGGTTATTTAATGATCCATTAATTGGGAGCCTGTGAGAAATTGGGAGTGTGGAGCAGATGGTTGGTGTTTCTGAGACAAAACAGAGTTGGTTCTGTTGGAATCATCACTGTGTTGTGTGCTGGGCATAAGTAAAGGTCTGGGAATCTTTGTCCTGTGCCACCTGTGTGTGGGGTGGGATGGGATGGGGTGGGATGGGATGGATGCTGGGCAGGCTCCTCCTGAGCTGGCACAGCCAGGATCTGTCTGGGCACCCCTGTTGGTGTCCTGTGCTGTGAACTGCTGCTTTCCCAGGTCAAAAGGGAGGAGAGTGAATGTGATTTCTAAGCCATAGACCTCTCCAAGGCTCCCGTGGTGCTTGATGGGCACCAGTCAAGGTTCTGTGGCTGAAGTTGCCATCACCTTTGACTGGGAGAAAGATTCACCCCAGCCCTACAAATTCTGCCTCTCACCTTGTATGAGAGCTGTTCTGACTGTAGGTCACTGGGTTTAATGGTGTCCCCTTAGGGCCTGGGCCCTGGTGCATCAGCAGTGTGGGACACTCCACACTCCACTGCTGATGCTCCTGGATCTCAGTGCCCAGGGGCAGGCAGGGAACAGGCCAAGGCAGAGGTGGAGCACAGCTGGGCTGTTCCCTCCTTGGTGTTAGTCTCTCCTACTTGACATTTGTATTGTATTCCTCAGCTCATTTGGCATTCCTGGCTGTTTATCTTTGCCTGCTAAACTTCCACCACTGTCACAAAGCTTTGTAAGTCACATATCCTGGAAGAATATTTTGTCTGCATATCATTTCTGTTTTGCTGAGGATCTGACACATTAGCAAACACTAATGATAACTCTGCTCTTGAATGCTTTCAGAACTGGCCTGCCCTCTCTCCCTTGCTGGCTTTGTCACGTGCAATGCCATCACTATTTCTTCTCTCTCATCCCATTATGCCATTCAAAGCTGTGCTAGACCTGCTCTTTGTCAGGTGAATGGTAAATCACCTCAGAGAATCTTCCAGTGGCAAAAATAAGGTGACAAACCCCCTCACCAGGCACTGGGGCTGTTCCCTGCAGTTGGACAGTTTGGGGAGCAGCAGAGGGAGGAGGGAAGGGCAAGTTAAACCAGGTCTGCTCTGGAAATACTGCTGAGCTCATTCCTTCCTTACTTTCTTAGGAACCAGGTTCCAGAACCTTTATTGGAGGGTGAGGAAGTTAAATTCTACCCTTAAATCATCCTCTTTTTTGTGCTTTCTCACCAGCTGTTACTTTTTATCTTTTGGTCTCCGCTTATGGGATATTTTTGTCCGTTTTTGTTTGCTCTTTCTTCATCGTAAGTGTAACAAAGAGCAAACCTTATTTGGGTGTTTGAAAACGCAAGATGAAAAATCATACTCGTGAGCTTTTTCTAGTCTAACACTGAAGTCTGTTAAAGCAGAGTGAAGCCCTTGCAGGAATAATCAAGCCCTGGGGGTTGAGTTGGCCCTGAAGGTCAGGTTGGCCGGTTCCAATCTGTGCTTGTGGGTTTTGCTTTTCGAACATGTTGATGTGAAATTGTGACCTTTTCCCACGTTGTTCGTTCACGGTTCCGTGGTTTTTACTGAACACATCATAACCTTGCCTTGAGAGCCCTCACGTAATGAAGTGTTTTGTTATTTGGTACATGAATTTCAGTTCTTTTCTTAATGAAACAATGAAGGATTGCACAATGAAAACACGAATACAAAGCAGCTGCTCTGTCATGTCTTGTAAATGTGACTTTCTCTCAATAAGAGACAGGTAACGTTTTCTTTACGTGTGCAGTTATTCCCTCAAGTTTTCTTTTCTTTGCTTTCTTTTGTATTTAGCTGCAGTCACTCTGCAGCCTCCACCACATATGGCACAAATTGCTGCTGCTGAAATAGAGTTGCTCATAAGAAAATTAAACTAAAGTGGATGCAAGAAGCTTTCTGTGCAACCAAGTTCAACTCAGATGTAAAGTTGTTGCCAGATATGTGTGTGCCTGTTTCTCTAGTGGAGTTCAGCTGTGTCCTACAGATCTGGGAGTATTTTGGGTGAGATTCCTGTTGATGTGTTGAGTAAGAAGTAGTACTGCTACAGAGAGGTTTAGGGTTCACCTGGGAGGTTGGTTCCATGCAGGATGAACAAACTCTGTATTTCAGGCTGTCAAACAGCTTATCTTCTATGCAACCAGGTTCCTGGGCTTTCTGTGGTTGTAAATGTCCATGGTATTCTGAATGCTGTGTTTGTGAACACCAGCTGCAGTAGGAACTGTCACCAGAGCCAGGTTGGACGGGGCTTGGAGCAACCTGGTCCAGTGGAAGGTGTCCCTGCCCATGGCAGGGGGTGGAATGAGGTGAG